GATTTAATTATTAATATGTGAGAAATATTGCGTTAAACAATATTTATTATGAATTGAAAACAGACGAGTAGAACGAACAATTGTGTTAAAAATATAATTCTGATAATTGTTTACGTTTATTTAAAGATCCGTTTATTAAATGGAATAATGAATGATTCGCGCCTAAAGATAATTATTTAGTATTTATAAATTCGTCTGGACATAATCTGTTTCTGAATAACATTTATTATATTTCCGGGGATAATTGTTTAATGAGCATAAAAAGCTCGGGACAATAGATGAACTTTTTATTAGTAAAGCTGTAAAAGTACGATGAAAATGATTAATTAACGCAACAGAGAGTTATCATTATTGGAATCGATTAAACGAAAATCTGATTTCCATCTATCTATCTCGTGTTTAATATATCTAAATAAAACAATAAGCGTACGACCATTTCTCTTTTATGCGGTAATACATTTAATCCGAAATTAACAATTTACACATGCTGTATCTCTGTATCTTTCCGATAAACAAATACCGCAGAAATTAATTAAAAATCGAAAACACATATAGATAAATAAATATCGTACACAATGGAATCATTAAAAAAAAAAAAAAGAAAACTTACAAACAAAATACGCAAAATCTGTATTGCATTTTTTAATTATTATCTGTGATTAAATATTGAAATTTTTTGACTCGATATTAATTAAAATGTAAATATCAGATACACTGATGATCATACTTTAAGAAATACACGATATTTTTCTGATTGGAATTATATCATAAAAAAGAGAGATAAAAAGGATCATTCATTAAACTTCCAACCACTGCTACGTCAAATAAATACCAAACACACTCGTTACACTTTCTGCTTAATAAATTAAATTTCCTAATTATTTTAATTATTATATCATCGCTTGCAATTAAATATTCAAATCCTGTACGTTCGCTTTACAGGTATAAAGAAAATGAAGAAATATATTCAGAAGGCGATCAATTTCGGGGTGGAGTCGGGCTATCTGATTCCAAAAGACACGGCGTACAAGGTTCTCCAGGTGTCATCGGATCTAATGAACGATAGTAGTTACATAAACAAAGGTCGCGACGTTTCACAAGTTAGGGATAGAAGTCCACGTCATACGCCCATTAGGTTCGAAGATTACGAGGTGCAGGATGCTAGAAGGCGACGAAGAAGGAAAGGTCGAAGAAGAAGAAGGAGCAGAAGACGAAGAAGGTCGAGGAGTGGATCCAGGAGACGAAGAAGATCGCATAGAAGGAGGCGCGGAAGGAGGCGTGATGGGTAATTGTATTAAGTTAATTTTATTAGCCTCGAAATTTTATTAAAGTTCATAAAAAAAAAAGTGCACGACATTCTCCTTTCCCGTTATCTTATTTATTCCATTATTCCTAAGGAAGAAAGCAAATAGAATTTGAATAGAACGTCTCGAGAATATTTCTCGAGATTATTCGCTACGAGTAAATATTTTATCGTTCAAATCTTTCTTTATTTCTATATTTATGAAAAATTTAGATATGAAAAGATATACGAAGAGAAGCACACGTTGTGATATTATTTAACGAAACAAATTTAAGCTAATCTATTGTAATTAACTATGAATTTATAGTACTCGAATGTTTCGAAATACTTGAATACGAAACTATGATTATTACAATTGTTATTACTTTTATTTCCTTGGGAAACGATCTATCTGTTTATTAATGAAATTATTAGAATGAAATAATCATCGTAAATAATTATTCGAACGAATGACGCGTTTCAGGACCGATGGAGAAGAGGTAGTCGAAAACGAAGATGATTACGAGTTCAATAATCAGAATGAAAAAAGGAAGAGTCCGGAGACTGTGAACAGAAACGATGAAAACGAACGAATGAATCAGTCTGACGAGGAGAAGACGATAGATAAGAAGGAGGACGATGGGTCGGATCTGTCCATCGACGAGGACGAGACCGAGGACGAGGACGAAAAGAAGAGGGAGGATACGAATAAATAATTAAACGTGGACGCACCTGGCAAAAATTGATTACCGACAGTGCGTGTCGTGAGAGTATTTTTTGAAACGTACGACGTGAGACGATTCGACTTACACTGAAAAAGAAAAATATAATGAAATGTCCTGTGATAATTTTTTAGTGGAATTCATCTTGTAATCGACAGTTATGTTAAAATGTTGCTCGGTCATTTATTATGGTCGTGGTGATTATATAAGTGTACAATATATATATGATACATGTCTACCGGATAATAAAACAATAGTATTGTGGAAATAACATGACATTCGTTTTAAGTGCGAAGATTAACTTTTACAAGTTTCACTTCTGTATAGATACATGTAAAAGCAAATGTGTTTTTAAAATAGATATATTTATAGTAGCTTGGAGTTACATTTAGAGTGGTCACAGCATCTATATAACTCGAACAACTAAAGATAATCCGCTATTTATATACCATAATGTAGCAGATACAAAAATTAAATATTAATTTGTTAGAAATTATACAATAATTAAAATTTTTATTCCAATTCAATAAACAAGAAATGTATTATTTAATTTTTTATTACACAGAAGCCTTCCTATAGAAAGGTGAAAATTTCGCATATTCGTTCAAATTAAAAAAAAAATATATATTATCGATTTTAATAAAATATTGTGCGTGTTGCTAACACACCCACATATAAATTTAACCCATCGTACCTTTTCCAATGTCGTGACCCATAAAAGGACAGTCTAATTTCACCCGTTATATCGATTCGAGGTTCCACGAAAACCGCACAATCACGAATCAAACAGTCCCCTCGTCATGGGAACATTCACCTTCGTTTCGAACGAGCAAACGACCCCTCCCCCGATGAAATTATTAAAAGCCCACCTTCTAAGTGAGGGAAGGCAAACAGGCGCACCTGTATAATCCTCGTCGCTTAAATAGTTCATTGGTGACAAACGGACACGAGGGAATCATAGAAGAATTCTTGGATCGATGATTCAATTTGAATCGAGCCTGATAAATTCGAATCGTATGTGAAAATCTTAAATGGTGGAAAGGATGTTATCTCGTAAACCTTAATTGGATAGCGACGAATGCTTGCAATAAGCTTGAAACGTGAATCCTTTGAAAAACAAAAAAAGGTTCCGTGTTTTATTTCGTTAGATTTTCATCGACCTTGACTCGTTGCTCGATTGTGCGCGTACGTTAGAGATGTAAAATCTATGTAAGAATATGATATACCTGAATTTCGAGAGGAAAATGATTTTTTTTTTTTTACGAAAATTGAATATTTTGGTTTTTAAATTATATATCTCGTCTGTTTGCGAGAACGTTGTTCTTTTCCCTTGAATTAATTAAATATTGACAGAATTGTGTAGTTACAAATCTACGCTTGATTCCAATCCAATTTTCTTCCAACGTTTTTATTTAATTCATCGATGCACGCTATGTTCGTGAAACTAGCAATTTTCGGAAATTTCGTTCCATTTATTCTCAAACGGTATATTCTTACTAGGAAGATCAACAACGAAAAATTTATTCTTCCAAGTTTCACGAAAATTTCTATTGTTTGTAATATAATAGCAACGTAACGAAACCAAAAAAAAAAAAGAATAATATTAATTACGATTCGTTAAAAGCACGTTTTTCACAATTACAGAAATATTTATCAGACAATTCAAAGGAAACAAAGTTGAATAAAAAGAGAAAGAAGCATCGTACAAAATCTCCAGAATATAAATAGCGAAATCAAAGGAAGCTAGAGAAACATACCGTTACCCAAAGTTCTACTCCACCCCCTGTTTCCAACTCCTATCTCAAAATCCCATAAAACGCGGAGAAGGAGTTTCGCGTTCCTTTTTCCTCGCCCTCCACCCGCAGCAATCTTCCACAATTGCGAGTGGATCGTGCGATATTTTCCCCGCGAATTCGACCGCCACATACTATAGATAAGCTGGTCGAAGCACTCACGAAATTGCCTACACGCGAAAAGCGGCGCGATTTCCTGGAGCACATCGGTCCAGTGACTCTCATCCCATTCCATGCGTGCAACCATGGCCAAGTACTTGACCTTCACCGGCCCGTGAACCCCGAAAATTTACGACCGATGTCCTGCCCTCCTCTCTCTCGCTCTCCACCGTGCTGCCTTCGCATTCTTTGTCTTCGTTCGTTCGATGGTATCGCGGTTACGTGGCATCCTCCTCTCCTCGTTGCACGCGCGGCGCACGCCGATCGATGGCCGGTTTGCACGAAGGGCGCAATGTTTCCCGCTTCGACGGCGCACAATGCGACGAAGCCGCGGCTTTTCAACCTATCCCTCCGCAGGGAAAGTCGAGAACGGTGTTTCGTGGTTTGGTAAAAAGCGGCTGACGTCGCGCCAAATGACACGCTTGGCGTCGTTCAAGGGTGGCTTATGTATTCTGATTTCGTTCCTTTGAAGGATGTCTCTTTTCTTTTCTCTCTCTCTCTTCTTTTTTTTGTTCGACTTTTCGAACGATACGATCGATATTATGAGTGATGGAGGAGAATATCGAAGATGGTACGTTTATTTTCGTTCGTGGATTTCTTCCTTTTTTTTTTAATTTTAATTTTATCTTCTTCTTCAATTTTTTCGATCGACGTTCGAATTAGAATTAAGATGTTATGTTGGAATAGATGCATTGGAATCTATCGATTCGGTTAATGTTCGGTGAGATTGATGGTACGACGAAATATTGAAAAGATTTGTGGAACCAATTTATAGGATTTAGTTATTGCATTATTATGTGGTAGTTAGCTAGAGAAGAGAGAATTATTACGAGAGAATTTATCAGCAATGGTAACTTTAAACTTATGATTTACGAAGTTACACTGATAATATTCAGTTCAATTGTGCAAGATGGCCCTGGCAAGTTTGGAGCAAGAATGGGAGTTGCACGAATTGTTATCAAATATAATTCTACATTAAATGTTGTACTAAATGCATCATTTATTAATTACGTGATATTGTAAAAGTAATAGATGTTATATTTTTAAAATTTTTGTTATATTAATGTTAAATAAAACAAAAAATTAAAAATATTTCAAATAAATAGTGCAAAAATATTTATATAAAATATCGATATTTAGATATAAATATTTTTGTAAATTCATATTTTAAAATATAAATAAAAAAATAGAATATTACGTGAATTCTGCATATGTTCTGTATATTTTCAATAAATAAACATTCTCTATCTATTTATCATTGATATATCATACATAAAATAATTTGTTCCTTAAAACGTACATGATATCAGAATTGCACAATATCGAAATAATCCTATATATTATTTTATAATCCAATTATAAAATAAAACTTTGTATTTTATCTCTTATTTTCTTATCTTATGTTCTTATCTTAAATTATTTTATTCGAATAATAATATATTTACAAGATAAATATTATAATATTGCAATCGGATATTTCACATTTAAATTTGATTATAGAAGCATAAAAATATTTTTTATATAGCAGAATTTTTATCTCCAAACTAATGTCTCGATAAATATAAATATTCTAAATTCTATCTATCTTGTATTTTTTTACTTTTTATCTCCTTTTTTAAATACTATATCTCTTATGAAATTGTTTGTCATTTTATTAGTAGCATTATTACTTTTATTTCGGATAAAAAATGTCGTCCAATGTAAAACAAACAATTCATCACACCAACATAAAAATCACTTTCACTCTCTACCCCAAACTATCTGCCTGGAAATAATCCAAGCCCATCCCATTAAATTTTCACCCTGATCTCTCTATTCATCCCGAACAATTCTCCTCCTTGTACACCTACATCCACCACAAACGCTATACATTCCAGTATTCACACCTAACAACTCACTCCATGTTCCATTCATTTCCATCACTCATCCTGGACCCCCAATCTCTCAACCACTAACAACTGACAACAACAAACGCGATCAAAATCAAAATTTTCTGCGTAAACAGACCAGAGACAAAGACAACAGAGACAAAGAGAGAGAAAAAAAACCGAGAATAAAATACTCGAGAATTATTCGCTAATGGATATTGCGTTGAAAATGAAAATCACTCTCAATGACTATCTATGGAAAATTTAAATTATTTAAATCTTTAATTAAAATATTAAATTACGATGTAATAATTCGTAACCCTTGGGCTACGAACATCCATTTGAGAGAATTAATTCTCGCTGTGTTTAACGCGAAAGTTATTCTTTGGCATTCGCGTTAACATTTCACAAAAATGTTTTCTCAAATCCTTTACCACACCAATTCTCAAGATTAAAATCTTCAGGGTGCATGCATACATTTGAGGCTAAAACTCTCAAAAATTCACACTAATTCAAGCCAAAACAAGATGAGATCAACTATTCGATAATAACTTTCACTTTCAACGAACTAGCGTTAAAAAATAACTCCCAACAACTTTCCAAACTTACGAAACTTTCTCTTTAACCAACACTCTGTCCTCTGTTCGAAAACGTGCGAAAGTTCCTTCTAAATTTAAAGAAAAATATATTCTCAAACCAAAAATTCAGAGTCTCTCTTCCCTTACCTTCAAAATACGAATTCATCTAAGAATAAAACTCTCGTTCTCTCGTCAATTATTTCTTCTTTCCATCTCTTCTTCTGGTTAACAGCGAAAAGTTACTCCAAAAAGAAAGAAAAAGAACAGCAACAACTCTCAAGGCATCCGCAAAAAATATCCTCGACAACAATTCCACGTTGAAATGTATTCGCACCCTTGGAAAGTGGCGAGCGTCGACCGGTCGACGATTGCGCACCACGTGGCTTCGAGTTCGCGCCAGTAGGGGTAGACTGCGGACGGGGGTAGGGGAAGGGCGGCGGGGTGGGGACCGTCAGACGACCCCCTCCGCCCCGTGATTCCGTGGATCCAGAAGGGAAAACGACGGCTTCAGTCGGCACGCGGCGTCGCGACGCACCTCATCGTACACGCGTTTCGCGTATCTCGAAACCGGAAATAGGCTCGAGGGCCTGTGCGCG